GGCAGCAGAACCGTTCCTTGTCCAGGGTTATCCAGTGCCCGTCGGGGACCTGAAATCTGGCTGGATGATGGTAACCTTGGTCACGGAGGTCTCCTTTGTAGTCCATGGAGACATAGCAGCATTGCTTCTTCAGCTGGATCACTGTTGGCTTCTTCAAGGCCTGCAGCGCTGAGGGGTCGTTGGGGCTCTCCATCAGCAGGCTGTGCAGGTAGCTGGAGAGGAAGCCACCGGCCACCTCAAGGCGGTAAGTGGCCTCCCTCCAGGTCTGGCCCTGGCAGACGGGGGTGACATGGGACACTCCTGCCCCAGCTTCCACAGCCAGACCGGTGACTCTGCCGTAGGCGCAGAGGGAGAGGAAGCCGGTGTTGGCCATGTGCAGGGCTGGCACCCCGAAGCTCTCGAAAAGCACCTCTGCTACCTTCTCCCTGTTGGTGGAGGGGCAAGATGGGGAGTTGGCCATGAGCACCGGCTGTTCCTCTGGGAGAGCTTTCAGGCCACAGAAGAAGAGGTGACTCCACAGGTTTTCCATGCTGTCCCAGTCCTCAATGATGCCGTGCTTGAGTGGGTAAGTTCTGGGCGCTACGGTGCAGCCTGCCGTGCTTTCAGCAGCAGTGGGATGCCGCTGGGTCTCCCACGTTGTGCCTGCGCTGCAGGGATGCAGCCACGCGGTCCTTAGCACGAACTTGGGCTTCTTCTGGCCTGCAAAGCCTGCCCGGGTGAAGCTGCTGCCATTGTCTATGACGACCGCGGGCTTTGGCATGACTGGCGCTCCTGAGGGACGCTGAGGAGGGAGGAAGAGCCTCACCCTGCAGTGGAACAAGAGGAGTCTTGTGGGGGCACATCAGGCACAGGGACCTGCTCTGCAAGGGGGCCTGTGGCTCAGCCCCGGTGGAGGACAGCTGTGCCTGCTTTAGAAGTGTCTGTCTCTGGGTACATGCCTCAGCCTTTCCTCCTGTCTCCTTGCTCCCTGCCTTGCTGAGCATCCCTCCCTGGGTACCTCGTCTCCATCCCTGGGGGCCTGGAGATTTTCCGCAGGCCCTTGGGTTGTCTTAACAGAGCAAGGACAAAACTTCAGGCAGTTTTAAGGAAGCAAGTGAAAACTGGACAGGAAAGTAGAGTGGTTGGACCAGGCTGCAGGGAATGGTGCTGCCAGCAGAACCCATGGCCCGTGGAAAGGAGCCACGCTCCAGGCTCCGGCTGTTCATTGTTTTTGCCCCAGAGGATCTGTGGTCACAGCTGGCAAAGGAAGGAAGGGGGTTGGGGTGCTGATGTGTATGTCCAGGCGCTTCCCCAGCTCTCTGTGCTTCTCAGACACGCTTCTGGGGCGTAGTGTGCACCCTGACCCACTGTTTGGGCACCCTCTGGGCTAACTTGCCTGCTTACCAGGATGCACAGGGACCTCTTCATTCTCCTGTGTGCCCCCCCGGACCCGCCTTTATGAGCACCCAGCACTGACGCCCGTGGTCGGCACCTTGCATGTCAGACCGGGGAGGAGGGTGGTGGGTCACAGGAGCTGTCACTCGCGCTCGGCAGGTGACGTGGGGACGGGCTGTGGGGTGGCCCCGAGTGCAAGTGCACGTTGCAAATTCAGCAGGGATCTCTTCCCATCGGAGCAGCTTCCTGGGGAGAGAGGGCATGAAACCAGCCCGCCTGCCCTGCCGGTGGTGGCGTGCTCCCTGGAAGGGGCTGCCTGTGGGGGGCCGCTGCAGGCTCTCAGCCCCACCAGCCTTGTCCCAAGAGCCTCGGTGCAAGCAGAGCCGTGTGTGAACTGTTGGGCGCAGCAAGGGCTGCTCTGCCTGCCCCGGAGCCCTCCCTGGAGCTGGGGGCTATTTCTGCAAGCGGCCTTTACCTGGCGGCTTGGGAGCATCCATCTGCGGTGCTCCACGTCTGCTGTGGGGGCTGGGGCTGGGATGGGGGTGGTGTCATGCTGTGCGTTCCCTGCTGTGACCTCACAGGCATGCACCCAGAGGCCGCTTTTGTCCTGCAATGTGTTACCGTTTCCTACAATAACTAAAAACTTGATTGGGATCCACCCCATGGGGTTTATTTAAGGGCCAGCCCCCTCCAGATGCAGCACCGCTCCCTCCGCGCAGACCCAAAGGCATCTGACAGGTCCTCTCCCCTTCCCCTCAGAGGTACGAGACCTCCTCGAAGATGGAGCAGTTCCTGACCCGTTTCCTGCTGCGGGAAACCATGCACCAGCTGCAGTCCCTGCAGGCCTCGCTCGAGTGTGCCGTGGACACCGTGGAGGAGCAGGCAGGACGGGAGAGGTAATGGGATGGGACGTGCCCGTCCTCCCCCTCTCCCCACCCCTGCTCATGGGGGTTGCAGCATGGGGCAGGACTTGCAGGTGCCCCTGGGAGGGACATCTGGGAGCAGGATCTGCCCTTTCCAAGCCTGCTGTGAAGCTGCCCCATATAGGGAATGACTTCAACCCCTCCTTCTGCATTTTATTCTTTCAGAAAGGACATAAAGAAATCTGAGACCTCGGTTGGCCTGAGATCAGGGAGGCGATGTGGGCGCAGGGGACAGAAGAACGTCTGTCTGTCTCCCACGGACCCCTACTCCGGGATGCTAACGACAGGTACCTGCAGCCTGGCCGTCCCTCGGGTTGGTGTCTCTGCCCCACCGGAGCCTGGAGTGGGTGTGGGGGCAAGAGCACAGGATGGGGGGAGCTTGTCCAGAACAGAGCCTGGACCGTTGCACCCAGATGCCAGCTGGAGCTTCTGTGGGTTGTTGTATGTCTTAAGCAGTGGAAAAAGTTTCAGGAGAAAAACAAATCGGAGGTTTAGGAGCTTTTGTGTTTTTTCTGAGTCTTGAGCAAGCTTTTTCAGTGACATCTCTCTGCCCTTCCCCTTACAGGGGTGTGTGTCGAAGACAACAGCCAGTGGATGGCGCAGATCAATAGGCTCCAGCAGCTCATCGAGAAACTAGAGTGCAAGGTGTGTGGCCGAGGGGAGGAGGGCAGGGGCCTGTCCTGCACCTTGGGGACGGCCAGGCCGGTGCTGGGACTTCGTCCCGTGCCAGCGGCCCTGGTGTTTGCTCCCGGCATCGTGACAGAGCTGCACCCGTTCACCAGACCGGACTTGCAAAGCTGCTCATCCCTTGCTGTCTCCAAAGCCCCCCTTTCCCCTCAGCTCTGCTGACCCTCCCCTGGCTTCTCCATGGTCCACGCTGACCTGACAAGTCAGTCTGGACCCACCGAGCCCCGCGGGTGTGCAGGGCACATCCCTGTTCTCCCACAGGTACCCAAGGGAATGTCCCCAGCGTGGTACCTCTCTGTCACGCTGGGCTGGGCCGGGCTGTGGGTTACTGCCATGTTTGATGTTGTTGCAAAGTTCTCCCAGTAACCACGAATTTTCCTGTGGGGTTAAATGCAGAGCCCGCGCCTGGAGCCGCTGAAGGAGGAAGCGATGGGCAAAGGAAGAGATGCAGTAAGTCCCCGTCCTGCTGCCTGTTGTGTGCCGGTAACCCCGCGGTGTGCAGACATCCCCTCTCTCACACAGACGTGTGCTGGCGCAGCCTCTGTGCCCCGAGACTGGAGCCAGCTGGGTGAGCTGCTGGCTGCGGTCTGGGGCGGGGTCTGCTGCCGGGTGACATGGCAGGGTGGGAGTCAGCGCTGTGAGCTGGGTGTGGGACCATCCACGGGACAAACGCAGCCCCACCAGGTCCGTGAAAGCCCTGGGCGGTGCCCACGGCCAGCCCGGAGGAAGGAAACGCTCCGCTTGCGAGTGCCCAAATCCCCCAGCTTTGCTCCGAGCACCCACAGACCACGCAGAGCCCCAGTGGAGGTGTCCCAAGGTCCCTTTCTGCTGGGGGAATGGCACAGGGAACTGCAGCAGCCCCAAAAGAGGACCCCACGCCAGGGGATGGAGAATCTTCAGTTGGTGCAGGCCTCATTGTCAAGGCAACGTGCCCAGCTGGGAAGAAGCTACTCGATCGTGGCTTTGTCCCCAGCATTGTGGTGCCAGCCCCTTCTTGTGGCTTCCCCCGTGGTCCTGTGCTTGCTCAGCGCTTCCTTGTCCCACAGCAGGGTGGGAGCAGGGTGGGACGAAGGGGACAGATCAGTCCCTGATGCCGCTTGTCCGCTATCCCTTCGCAGCACATCCTGGTGGCGAAGAGGCAGATCTCGGTGGCCACGAGCGGCATCGAGGAGTTCCGCCAGGCGTTCAGGTCCTACACGGAGGTCACGGCCGGGCAGAGCAGCTGCCTGCAGTAAGTGGGGCGGGCGGCGGTGGTGCTGGTGGAGCGGCTCGCCCAGGAACAGGGGCTTTTCACACGACACCCGTGGGGGACAAAAGGGGGTTTTGTGGAGAGTTTTGTGTGCTCGACAGAGCAAGGGTTGGGCTTGGCGTGCGGAGGTTTGACCCTGCAGAGAGGACGAGACGGTGTGACGGCTG